TACTTGTTCAGCTGAGGGGGTGGTTCAGACTATTTCTAGACAGCTCACTAAATGAAAATTAATACTCTCTGCTCCTCTTCATCATGCAGACTCTTCTCCCAACACACACAAGAATATTACTAAGAAAAAAACATCAGTAAAGCTCTTGCATTTGAAGTCTTGCAGCTGGAGATCCTCTCGCAGTGTATCAACCAAATACATGCTGGCAGCATTATTATCCAGTGCCAAATGCTCCTTCAGTGTGCTACTTCAAACCCTGAGCAAGCAAATGAGAGAAAGGATAATGTCACTGCGATGAACATCTTTATAGTTCACCACTTGGTACAGGCCTCTCAGAAGGCTAACGGCTGATAGTACACAGGGGCGCACTGAGAGGATGTTGTACTTAAGTTGACTCCTTCTGGAGAAAGGAGATCTCTGGTGGTATTAAAAACTGATGGTTTAACACTGCTTTGGTACCCCTTCAACTTGTGTTGGTGTTCTGTAGAGTTTTCTCCCACCAAAGTCAGTATGTATCCAGCTTCTGCCTAATCAAGCCAGCACTGGTGACTTGCAGTGGGATGTAAGGTCACAGTAATCTTGTATCTATAGTGCAAGGTGACTATGTAATCAACTCACTGTAACATGTACTTTGGATCAGCACTTTATGGCCCATATTTGGTAGACTGAACACACCAATGATTTTAGCAGGCTGTCCTCTATGACCAGATGTAAAATGGGAATACATGGCATAGAACGTATTGTAGAGTGCCCAAACACAGAATTTCATGATGACAGCTGCTTAAAAAGTTGGCCGTATGTTTAGGATTGGAAAAGTGTGGAAAAAAACCTGCTCTAGAACACCAACTTTCCAGTGAGACAACTCAGGCAGGACTGATCTTGGGGTTACCAAGGGCTGCACTTCAGCAGCTAGAAGGTGGTGTTTGAGTGATTTCACACAACACTCTACTTCAGTAGAGTAGCATCCTAAAGCGTGAATAGCAGAATCCAAGACCTAGGAAGATCAGCTCCTGTCCATTACAGACGGATAATACGAGTGCAGCTGCAATGCACTAGCATGCAAGGGGCTAGTATATAATTTAATAGAAGAAAAAAATGTCTCCACATTGTTTCAACAAGCAAAGGTTAAAGGTCTTAAATTTAATTCTAAACAGGACAGTGATCCCCACCCTAACAAACATTTACCTAAGTGAGATTTGCATAATCTCTTTGACCCTCAATCTGCTCACCTTAATCAACCATATCATTATTTAGAAAAATGTGCCTCCATGTGTGCCTGATATCTTTGCCTACTTCTCACTGCTCATTAACCAAAAATCAACAGAAAATGTTCTCTTTTGATTACCAAGACTCTGAGTAAATACCTTTCCTAGAACACAGAGGTTATCAAACTCTGCCTGGGTGTGACCATTTCAATAAAAAGCTTATCCCACTGTAAAACCAGAAAATCCCACCTTCTTCATGCTTAGAATCATAGAATGACCTGGGTTGGAAAGAACCTTGAAGATCATCTAGTTCCACGGGCAGGGACACCTTCTATCAGAGCAGATTGCTCTGGGCTTCATCCAACCTGGCTTTGAGCACTGACAGGGCTGGGGCATCCACAGCTTCCCTGGATAACCTGTTCTAATGCCTCACTACCCTCACAGTGAAGAATTTCTTCCTAGTATCTAATTGAAACCTGCTCTCTGTCAGTTTAAAGCCATTCATCAGCTACTGTATCTGAGTGCACACCACTTTCGACTGCAAAGAGGAATGAAGGGGACTCCAAGCAGCCATGAAGCCCTTTCACAGGAGACCACCAGCTGGTATTTAGCAAAGCATGCTTTGGAAAACACCTTGTGCTCAGATACAGTGGGGCAGTTAAAGCATTAATGAGCTTCACCCATACTCCTTTCCCTAGCACTTCTGCTGACTTTATACTGACATCATAAGAAGCGAACTACCACTGTGGCAATCTAGTTTCAGTTTGCTGATTAGTAAAATGACCATAACAATATCTCTCCCTTTGCACAATTTTGAAGTCTCAAGCTCCAGGCCACTTGTGTCAATGAAAGTAAGAGTTGCTTAGGCGACTGTACTTATTTTTTTCCTATGAGAAAAGTGCAAGTTACAAGTGAATTTCTGACATTTAGACACATTTCTTCATGTTGATGTTCCAGTCTCTTCATCTCTGTAACTGTCACCATCTGATAGACATATCTGAGCAGAGATGCATTTACTACCACTCAAGGAATAACTGGCCTATTCCTAAAAGGCTGTCGAGGATACAGCTACATAACAAACTAACCTAACAGCTTGTGTATGCCAAAAACATACACAAAGCATACAGCAGGACTTCTGATCTTCACTTTCCTCTCTGTGGCACCAGTTTTGAAGGCACGGCAACTTCGCGTAATATTTGTCTTAATAGCTTTGGAGGAATGAGAATGTACATCGGCACAGACAGCAGCCCAGCACTGACTCTTGATGTTACTACAAGTCTTACCTTTATGCTTCTTCCTGTAGTACATCAGACACTAGATCAAACTGGTAGCATTGGATGGTGATGACAAGTGTATGCAATGCTCAATTCAGTTCTCAATCCAGTGCCCTGATCAGCAGTAGACTCCAGGTCACTGACTTCTTCCTAATTGATTTTTTTTTTCCCCAAGGATTAAACATCTGTGTACAAATGTAAAAGTTCTTTAATGCTTTTCCAAATTTTGGACAGTCTTGCATAATCATTTCACAATATTTATAGTGGCAACTTGTGTTCCAACTTAGGCTGCTGCTCTTATCTCCTAATTCCATAACAATAATGAGGTAAAAGGAAAGATGGAGTGGAAACTATTTTGCCACATATATACACTTTCCCCATGTGCTAAGAAAACCTTTTTTTCTCTCTCCCCTTCATTGTAGCTAACAAGTCAAAAGAAGGGACATTCCAGAACACGGTAAGAGCCTGTATTGATAGAAGGGGAGTAGAGCATGTCCTGTAGCTCGATTCTGGGAAATTATTTCTTGCACACAATAATAAGCAAGCTAGAGAAAGGCAGTTTAAACATAACTATATATAGGGGGTACAAAAGCAGTAGGAAAACCATACTGAGAAGGTAAACATCAAAGGTTTACTGCTAAAATGGAAGCCTGCACCAAGGCAGCATTTTGCACCAGATACATTGCTATTTAACCTATTTTCATAATGAGCCGGACAGAACCTGTTTTCATTATGGTTGGAGAATCCATTAGAAAGCATGTGTATTAGAGCTACAACTGACATAATCTGGGACAGCCTGTGCAACAACGAAGAACAAACTTGGATTAAGAAAAGAAGATGCAAAAATGTAACAGAAAACAAAACTGAACACAGTAGTCATTGTAACAATCCACACTGCATCCACATATTGAATATTACGTCATTCTACTCCCTGTCTTCAAAAGGGATACAGTAGAAATAGAAAAGATGAAAGTTGATTCAGATGACCAAAAAGATGGGATGTGTCTTTACAAAGACAGATGGGGAAGACTTTTCAGTCTGAAAAAGAAATGGCTCAGAAGGGTGTATCAATGATCTATTTCTGAGTGGCATGAAAAAGGTGAATAGCAAATGATTATTTATCCTCTTTCAAAGAAAGACCCAAGCAACACAAAGTGGAATTATGACTGGGTCACAGTAAATAAAATGAGATAATCTTTAACATAATGGTTAGTTGAGCTGTGTAGCTCTTTCCCGGAGAATGTTTTGCATGCCAGAAGTCGACACTGTTCAAAACTGATTAATCAAAAGGAAGTTTCATATTGGTTTAATCATGTAACTGACCAGACTACTAGGAGGCTAAAAACCTTTTTGATTATCAAATGATCTAAACATCCCCTATCTGGAAGGCCACAAGTAGACAGATACTTGCTGAGACTGTCTCCCTGAACTTTTAGTACCACATTTACAGCATGGATAGCCAATCAGACTGCAATTCATTCCTCTTCAAAAGACTGCTGTCTTGCCAAATTCTGAAGTCCGTCAGCATGGATAAAAACTGTTCTTAATAGACATCAGTTTTACAGCATTACAAGAAAACATGATATGGATTGATCTATTTGGAGACCAGTGAGGTATATTGTTTATAACTCTTCATATGCTTTTAAAGTTGCAACACACAGCCAGAAAATCAATGTTACATAGTCATTTAACTGGTAAAATCTGTATGACAAAGTTTATGCTAGTGCTGTGAACACAAAGAAAACTGGAATATGCTCATAGTCACTGAACACATTCAGCCACTTTGAGAAGACTCAGCAATGTGGAGGTTCATGCAAAAGATGCAATTTGAATGGAAAACACTGTTTAATTTTTTTTTTCCAAAAGTTACTTAGTATACCTACTAGTTAGGTATATTACCTGGAGATTCTTGACTGGATTTACTGCCAGAGTATGCTGATAGCTGATCTAATGAAACTGAAGTTGAGAATTTTAGACAATGAAAATGGAAAGTATTTAAGGTGCAAATTGAAACATGATGAAATACTGAAATTTTCAGTCGTCACATTAACATATTAAGTTAAATAAATCCTTTAATAAGCTCTATGAGCCTTAATTAAACTTATGCATGGTCTTAATCCCTCAATCAATCCAATTAAACACTAAAGCAGTCCCCAAAAGTGCCCTACTGAAGTGAGTTTTATCAATGCAGCTAAACAGAATGCTGTGATCAGTCAGAACTCAGTGACCATTATGTAGCCAGTAAGCAGAAAAAGTATGTAAACTCACCTGCTTGGTGTTTTTGAGGTAAATGTTATATTGCTCAAGACAAATAGCATTCATGCACTGTTACCTGTGTTTTTCTTGGGGTGTTTAGTGCTTCGCAGAGGAGGCTCGTTTGCAAATCCTTCCTTTGCAAAATGCCCACTCCTAAAAGACAAGCTCGTGGTATTTTGTACAACACACAACAGCAAAAATATTCATCCTTCATCTTTCTTTCTTCCTCATTAGGAAATACTCAGGAAAACTTTGAGGAAAAAAATAAGATTTAACATCATTGTATTTATTGGGTTCTGAAACAATACACATTCACATCCTTTTGAATACAGTACATTTGGCACAGTAATAATGTTTACGATGAAATAACACTAATGAATGGCAAGAGATTCAAATTACATCCATAAGAAAAAAATTCTGTACAAATAAATCCTCACAATAAAAAAAAAAACCTACCCCCCCAACTGAATACACTTTATATTTAGCCAGAGCTATTCTGCACATAATTTAAAAAGAGGTAATTTGTAAGCCTTTTTGGAGAGAATTATTTTTCACTCTATGGAGAAAAATGTATTTCTATCTTCAATAAAGTCTATTTGGGAGGAAAACAAGGAAACAATGGATTCTTTATAATTGTTATTATTAATAATATTTTTGGCATTTTGCACTCCTTTTACAAAGAAGGAACAGGAAAGATTTTACAGAACAGGCAGAAATGTAACAGAATGTCCATTTTTAAGAATTATCTTTAAAAAATGTTCAAGGTAACATAAAAACCTTCTGATGTAAACCCAAGGCAGAGGATCTAACTATTTATATTGAAGAAATATCTGCCCATGCAAAAGTTTCTATTTCCTTCACTTTCTCTTAGCATCCTACCAAACACTGCAGGTGCTGAGGCCTCTTGAAATACAAACATTTGCTAATTATCTTCACGTTAGAAATGGGAATACAGACTACACTAGCTTGTACACAATAGCTTTATGGGATGCTTTTATTCCTTCAAAATAAATGCTCCTAGTTCTGTGTAAAGGCCTCTTGTTGAACAAACAGTAGTGCACTATCCAATAACTTGTCTTCCTAGCCAGTCTACTCATCCATGGAAAAGAATGCTTTAGCACTGTGATCAGTTCTTGCCTGGATGTCAAAATCTAACTGTGATGAGAAATAAACAGAGCCAGTGGCGAGACACAAATTGATGGGCAGTTCTACAATATATTTCTAAGAGAGAAAGAAATTTAACATTGAGATGATGCAATCATTAAGATGTTTATGTGCTGGTACTCAGCTCCAGAAGCTAGTCTTTTCCCAGTACAAAAGATTACTAAGGATAAATTAAATTAAACTAAAGGCTTGATCCATTATTACACCTGTAGGCCAGACAACACATTAATTGATATATCATAATATTTAATATTTTGAAATAATCATAAGAATATATATAATAATTACACCTGAGTTTTAAAAACAAAACAAAATGGAGCTGAATGGTGTCATCAGTAACAGGCTATGAGCAGCCAGACACAAAACTGACACAAACTAACTCATCTGCTTGAGTCCGAGATTATCTCTTAAAGCCAATGACTCACACTTTATCCACCACGACTTGTAACATTCCTTTCTCTTTCCGAGCTCTATCGTGTCATAATAGAGTTGAAGAGAACTATACAAGAGATTTAGTATAGCTTAATATATGTCTACATCTTTTATAACAAAAACCTCATCTTTCTGACAGTAACTTGAACCAATACACATACAAGAGTATTGCACATGGACATTATTATAATTATTCTTTCATAGACTAACATTTTAATAGTATGCCTGAACATGCAGCAGTTGATACCTCTATATTCAATGAATTCCACAGGCCTTGCAGCAAACACTATATACAAAATCTCACCTGTACAAAAGGCAAAAAAGCTTCTTTAGTGCCACTTTGCCAATCACAAGTATATATATTTTTGTGCAGCTGGAAATCCATGTGCAACAATTAAAATGGATTCCAATGACCGCTCACTCAGTCCAGTAAAATATATAATAAAATGACCTCAGCGATACATGTACACAAAAAAAAAAAAAAAAACAAACCAAACCAAAACCAAACCACAAGGTACTCCTGGAAATATAAGTACATAACACTGTTAGCGTATCTACAGGAGGTAACTTCACATTAGCAATATTGTCCACATGAGTTACCATTTCAATTCATACACACAAAAGAAAAAATACCAATTTACAACTTTCAATAATGTCAGTTTGTGAATGTTTGATCTTCAGTTTTTTAACACACTTCCACATAATGCACGTGTAGCCTTATTTTGTGCCTTCTAAAAGCAGATTTCTCTTTAGATTTTAAACATAAAAACCAACAAACACAGTAGTATTATGGTTTTGTAAAAGTGTGCAAAAGTAACACACTGCTGAGAAAATAAATATAAATATGAAATTATTTATCACTGTAGCTACAGTGGCAAATTTATAATGTTTATAATTAATTTTTAATGTAAAATTAACTGTAAACATTTGCAATCTTGGTGTCACATTAATGGTTCATTTAAAAGGATTTTAAATTTGGTAACATGGATAGTACTCCCAATTGCCTGAAAAACAGTAAAATGGCTATTTGTAGCTGTGTTAAAGTACTATAGGCTTTTTATTCTTTAGCCCTTTAATAACTATCCATATAGTATCTATTTCTTGCTTTAAATAAAATTTCAGTTATCTTTGTGACTCTTATTCCTAAGTTTTCCATACACTGTACGAGGAACTTCATTAAAACCTTTAATTGATGTGCTTCTTTTTTTTGGACAGCTTTACAATTTGTACCTCCCCACAATAAATTAATAATTGAGGATTAAACCTCCATGAAGGCAGACTTTGCTTTTCAAAGGGCATCTGAGTACAGATTTCACCATAACCACCAGTGCAGAAGAAACAGTTCTCACCTTCTTAGCTTAAATACATATGACGATTTCAGAACGTGGTCTGCTAAATTGCTTTTAATAGTATAGCTTCATTTTCTATGGAAAAGATGTACTTTTGTCCTCTGGGAATTCCTACTCTTAGGAATAAAAGGAAAGTTGCAAATATACGGCAGTGTGTTACATCTACAATTTCTGATACAAAATTACTTTGCATTGCTTTGTGAGACAGAAATTAAGAGTGCTTTCAGGTCAGAAGACAAAGGAAAAAAATAATAAATATTTACTTAAACTTGGGATATGGGCTCAGGGTAAGAGAAGTAGTTCTTGATCTACTGAGTCTCAGTGATTTGATGATCTCTTCAGAATCACTTCTTGCAGCATCATTCATCTGTCAGTCTATCGTTGTCTATGGTAGTAGCTCTTCTCCAAAATAAGAGAACCCTTTAAATTCTTCTTGATTGATTTGTTTTATAATTGTCTCATCCACTAGAGTTAATACCGGTTCTTCTCGTGTAAAGTCTTGATCAAAGTTATTTACATCCCTTTTGGTTTTCTGAGAAGAAAAATATAAATAAGGTGAATGCTTAAACAGCAAAATAAAATAAAAGGTGCTCTCCCTCTTCTCCATCCCCCCAAAAGGCTGAATTTTCTGGAATGATTGAAATAAAAGAGGAGCTACTTCACACAAATAATAACAGACATATGAGAGAAGCTACAGTAGCAAGTAATATAAATGAGTTTAGGAGAGGCCACAGAAGCAGTACTATAAATGAGTTCCCAGAGACTCACAGGTCTCCGACAGGCGAAGGAATAGCAGTATGATGATAAAGCAGGAAGCTGAAACTAGGATTGATTTAGAAAAGGCTTTGGCATAGTAGGTGGTATGGCTGTTTCCTCTTAGATTGAAACAAAATCATATCTCCTTTCAGAGGCACAGAGTGAACTGACTGATTCCCCCAGAACACAGACTACTTGTTTCAACTCTAATTTAACTGTTTCTTTGTATCAGGCTACACTCAGCTTTAAAAATCTGAGGTAAAGTTTGCAATAGCTCTCAATCCAAAATTCTTCTCCACACTGGCAACTCAGATTTCCTAATGCAGCCAAACATCATTCAGAGCACCAGGTCAAAGTGTGAAATTCTGTCTCCAAAGAAATCCACCTCAGAAGTCTTCTTTATTTCAATGATATCAGGATTTCCCCGTTGAAGTCTAAAGCGCCTCACTCCTTCAGCAAAGCTGGGCCAACAAAGTGCAACTGTACATGTTCTGGGATAAGAGGAATTAACCAAAGACAGCCTTGGGGAGATTGACTTGCTGTCCTCAGGACACTCATAATAGTGACTATCTGTGACCACTTACATGAAAAAAACACCCTAGGCTACAGCTAAAAACATTCTCCATGGTCATTCCCTTGAACCTGCAGTGTTCACATTTTCTATGTTAGCAGCGTATTTTAGGCATGTACAGGTTCAGGGAATTGGAACATTTTCCTTTACACTGTCTCTTTTCTCTTTGTTTCATGGAATCTAATAATTATTTGAGTGATACTTAATGGGTTCACACTGACACATTGAAAACAAGCTTTGTGTTCATCCTGCACGTCTGAGATTAAGAGGATACTGGAAATAGAATAGCTGCTTGACTTGCAAGTAAAATGATAAATTCATATATCATAAAGTGTATTAATGTATTCCAAATGGGATATATGCCCTCTTTCAACATAGGTAAATTTTTCTATAAAATATACACATACATAAACGTATTTTCTTCATCAGCTTTACTGAGGCACTAAACAGTTTTCTTTCTCACAATGGTAAAACGGTCATAGCAACGTTCACCTACATTGTTTGTGAGAACTTTAGAGATATAGGGAAAAAAATGTCTATATAAATGCAAGAGACTGTCACTTGTAAACCACGTGCTTTCTAAGTGCAGGCAAACAAAAATCCACAACCTCTATCTACAAAATCCCATATTAAAAGGAAAGGGATATGGACTGAACAAACATATATATAGTTTATATTGTTTACATTTGAAATATTTACTTTGTACATAAAGACAAGACATAAAGCGTATGCAACCCATATACTCTGAACTGCATAAGGCACCAGGGATGTGGCTTTGGACTTTATGGGTTTTTTTCCCCAATCATTTGGGCAAATATTTTAAAATAACAATGAAATTCCATCTCAGTTTTGAAATGCATTACATTGCAACTGCGTCTACATTCTTCTTGTTCTCCATGTCCTACAGTTGTATTTTCACACAGTCAGACAATGAATTTGCCATAGGAATAGTCACTAAATCAGAAGGAAGCAAGTGAATATTTGCAGAAAGTAGAATTCAAATTCAGAACTGTATTTATATGCAAAGGAAATGTGACTACACTCACACGTCAACCACTAGCTATCCAGGGTAAATAAGCTCTGGAGCAGCTGAAAACAAATACAAAAGATATTATTTTCAGGCTTTCACTCAATCTGTTCCTGTAAAGTGTTATTTCCTTCCTGAAGCTAAAACAGTTTGATGACAAACTCCTCAAAGCCATTTGGGGCAATTAATTCCTAATAACTAATTATTCCAGAAAATTATCACTAAGACTTGTGAAGGTGTTAGATGAAAAAAGAGCACAGATAGGTACATCTAAAAAACTGTCCCATCAACTGTACCTAAATCCTACTGATAAAAAATAATTGTGCATTCAGTAGAACTTTGAATCCCAAAATTTGTGCTTAGATTTCAAAGCCTACCATGTCTTAAAATACGTCTTCAAGACCAAAAGAGGAAATAGAAATTTTTACTGTCTCAGATTTATAAACAATTTCATGTAGTTTTGGCAGCAGACAGGTAAATAATCTAATTTATAAACAGGACAAGCACGGAACAATCTATGATTGCAAGGATACGCTAACAAGTCTCTCACCAAACAACTGATGAAGTAAGATTAAACAAATCACAGGGAACAAAAGTGAGTGGAATAAGCCATACAAGACCAAAGGCAGAGTTCATAACAAGTGCTTCTTTTCAACAGAAAGATTTATTTGAGAAACCCCCCTTAGCAAGTTAGGCACCTTCTTCCTGAAGCTATGCCTATTTTCCAAGGCTCCATCTGCTAAGACAAAACAGGTCTGGCCACATTTCTGCTACTGTTGCTATTTTAATGTACTTGCACTGTGAATACTCTGTAGGCCAAGAGCATGAACCAATACACAGTTGCAGCATGAGGACTCAGGATAAAGGTATGAAGGGTTGTGGTGGTCTCCTAGCAGAGAAGCTGAGAAAAGAAGGAAGATCTGCAAGGTAAGGAGAATATATGAAAGAAACAGAGCGCAGCTATTACTCAGCTTTGAACATTAAAAAAATCATGAAGATAAAAGGAAAAATATTTAGATTGGCTGACAAATGCATAATTTAAAATGTAGTAATTAAATGGGTGGGATTCTGTTTATTTAGCCTGCAGCACCTGATACTCTGGGACACATTATTATAAACTTCAAATTTTTTTTTTCCAAGTAAGACTTTTCCATTTCAGATGACCGAAGAAAGCAGAATATTAGGAAAAAAGAAAGTCCAAAACTACAGCTGTCCACCCAAACACACAGAAATTCAATGAAGTTTCAGATGTTGTTTTTTTTTTCTCTCTAGACTACTCAAGCATCTTGTCTTTACCATGTGCCAGTGCTACACGAGAGCAGAGGCACAGCAGCTACCCAAGAGCTTCCAACAGTAGGTGCCAAATTCCACACTGCACTGAAACTGCTCTACTGCAGGCAGCGTGTGGGCAGAGCCTGCCTCTGTCTGACAAAGAGCAGCAGCAGTGCCATGGCACGGCTAATGACTAAAAATGACATGACTCCAGTTCTAAATCTCATCAGAAAGACAGCTTCTCCAACAGTAGAGTATCTCTGATAGTGAGAAGGAATAGTGACTCACTACCTCTTGTGCAGAAAACATGCTGGCCAGTTGATCTTCTGTTTTTCTTTTTTCCAGCAGTGTGAATGCTTCATAGGTGTCCTCTCTCACCTAGTGTGACCTTTGGCACTGGAAAGCCACAGAAATCCTCGCCAGAAGGCATCTGACAGAAGGTGTTTGGCTTGTTGCCATGTGTCATGAGGCAAAGATGCTCAATGGACTCATTTCTGCCTAATAAGGATTAAACTAATTGTCCAGTTTGGAGACATTAAGAGATATCTCTCTTTACTCTGTTACTTCTTTTTATTTAATTTGCAGAAAATCACTCAAACTCTTTCAAATCCTTTGCAAGCTCAATGGCTTCACTAAATTGGGCTGGAATTGTCCAGCAGGTTCAAATGCTACTCAGAGAAGGTGAAGAAAAGATGGAGGTGGTGGCTAGGAAACAACACTGCCACAAAAGACTAGGTTTTGTGTTTTAGTCTGATTGTCCTACAAATTCAAATTGCTGTTTAAATATGACTAGAGGAATCCTCTTTAAATCAATTAATAGATTTATGTTTATTTAGCAGAATGGCAGCTAATCCAGAACAGACAGCTAATACTAGAAGTGAGGCCAGAAATTATCATTACAACAATGAACTAGTATGTTGAAAGAAAAAAATATTGTGCTATGATATTTTTCAGTAAGTGGACCTTTTGACACAATATATATACAAAGCTCATGCATGATTTTCACAGTCTGAGATACCATGAGCACAGAAATGTAGATGATTGACCTGTCTATATCGCTGAACGAAACATCTTTACCCCACTTCAATTTTTTGTCAATAGCAGTGCTTGGTGCCTCCTCATAGATTTTTCAAGCCCACAGCGAAATCCTGGAGTTTGACATTCGTTTGGGGACCATCCCAGTGCAGCACCTGGCTGTATCAGCAGCCTATCTCACACTCTGACAGATGCACTGAATCTGGGCAGGAAGCTGCTGCAGTTTTTAGTGTGCAGCTACAGGGGCACAGGGCAGCAATGCAGCAGCAGGGACACACAACAAGAGCCACACCTTCTCATAGGTATTACATGGCATCCCTTAATTTTATCCAGGATTTTGCTTCAGTAAGAAACAAATGGTACCCGTGTTTGGCACAGCATCACCAAGAAGAAACTCTTAGATCAGGATGATAAAAGTTCAAATATTTTGTATTTACCTCATCACTGATAAGACTTTCAGATTATATTTATCAAGATGAATGGAAACTCAAGACATTGAAGCACAAGGTTATGTGGCTAACCTCATATATCACTGTCCTCTCATTCACCTCTCCTTATTATGACAACAAAAACCACAGCACAGGCAAAGATAACTTTGCACTGCTGATTGGATCTCTTTTCATAAAGGTGTAGTAATCTCTAAAAAACTGAGACCAACTGTGATGAGCACTCACATTTGCGCATAACTCATGCTATATAGAGAGAAATTCAGTATGGATATTTTGAAGGAAACAAGCTGAGAAGCACAACACTCCAGCCCTATCTTTGAGTTTATCCTCAGGATACCTCCTCACAGTATTTGCATGTCCTGAGAATTTATATCAGTATTAGAAGTGGTTTCTAGCTTGTCTTATTTCAGAAGATATGAAAT